GTGTGCCTTGCAGTCTCAGTCGAGCCAGGTCCCGGTGAAACGCAGCACGGAGCACCCGGCAGGAGCCTCCAGCAGACCCCCCCGCGCGGTTCCCTCGTCCCTCGGAAGAGGCGGAGAGGTGGGTGTTTTTCATCTGCTGGCGGACTGCCGGGGAGAACGTGCTGCTCGGGAGCCAGGCTCAGAGTTAGTGGCAGTGAGAGCCCGTGCACCTGCCTTTTACAGCAGGCACGCGCTGGTATCGGGGTGGGGAGAGAAGGTAGAAGCAGAGGCTGCAGAAACAGCCAGAGCCTTCCCCTCTAACACACCCCTCATTTTGTTCATAAGCACAGGGCAGAGTCCCCTGTCAACTCTCCTTAAAAAGTGGGGATAACAGTACCTCCGGGCGCTCCATTCCGCTCCGGCCTTCGCCGCAGCGGGGGGAGGCATTGAACCCCTCGCACCTGCCCCCGGAGGAGGCAGGGGAGTCAGGTACCCGGAGGCGCACGGTGGACGGCCAGGGCGAGACCGCCACACCGCACTGGAGTCAGGGTTCCGAGTTTTTCGAGCCAGGTCCCGGTGAAACGCAGGACTCCAGCAGGATCCTCCAGCAGACCCCCCGACGGTTCCCTCTTCCCTTCCGGCCATCAGAGTCGAACCCGCAGTTCGGAGGAACCAACCGCCAGAGCACCGGCACGAGGCCGGGCCGGCGGAGGCCTTCCGATGGCGGGTCACGTTTGCCATTCGATCAGTGAGAAGTCAGAAAAAAGTCTGAGTTAACTTTTTGGAGATCCATTGAAAAGGGGTGAAAATGAAAAAAAGTATCCGAAAATAGTGCCTCATAATGCAGGTAGAGTCCCCTGACAACTCCCCTTGCATTCCTCCAGACTCAGAAAAAGTCTAAGTTTATTTTTTGGAGATCCATAGAAAAGGGCTAAAAGTGTAAAAATGTATCCGAAAATAGTGCCTCATGAGGCGGGTCGAGTCCCCTGGCAACTCCCATTGTATTCCTCCAGAGCCCAGTTCAAAAACTTAAAGTTTGGTAAGAACCATGCTGGGGGGTCTCCGGGCAACAAATGTATCTGAGCCAGAGTGCTCATACAGCGGATGAATTCCTCCATGAAGTTACACAGCCGTTTTTTGGCACTCAGTCATTTTTTCGAGAATTTTTCAAAACTTCATTTTTGATTATTTTAAGATATAATTGACCGTTTTCTTTCATTTTCTTTTCTTTCCACGGGTGGGAGCCTATGGCAGGCCGCCTATGAGCTCCCAAATTCGGCCTGGAACCTCCAGGATTTGTGGGATAAGCTCCATAAACTGACAAAGTCATCCAAAAATGTCACTTTTATAGCCCAAAGATATATAATACAAATAAATTAAAATGCACCAATTTGCTTCAAACTCGCTGTGCACCTTGG